AATAGCTTTAGAATGTTTGTTCAATGTTCTTCAACCCCTTGTTCCACCTCTTACTACGGTAACATTTTCTACTCCCCCTTTACCGGATTCATTGATAAATGAGTATGAAGGGAATGTTTTTGGAAGCAATTATGCTACCTTAAACACGGGATTTTCAAGGTTTGAGATGGGTGATGCGTCTCAAAAGAGACGAGGAGGTAGGATAATAAAAAACCTACACTAAAACTCCAAGAGATGGAATGGACGAAGGTGGAAGGACGGAAAAGTAGAGGACGTGGCGGCCGCCGCTGCTGTTCATCTTAGAAATCCCTAAAAAGCTATCTAATGATCCTCCTCTACATTTGTGATTAGGTGGTATGGATATCGGTTCAACACAATCACACACCGTTCAACTTCCAGAAATGGATTTTGTTATTTCAAGCAATTTCTTATATATATGTTTGTTCTAAAGATATGTCTTCTCTCAATTGTAAGACTAGTTTAGCGATTGTATAATTTTGGTTAATTGTTACCTTAATGATCAAAGTTTTTATTAAACAAAAAAAATAGCTTTTAGAAGATATAGTTATTTCCAAAGATTACGTCTTTTCATAAAAAACAATATTTTAGAGTTGAACCTTCTTGAAAAAAATAATATTAAATCATATTTGGTCAGGTGCTAATGCAAACAAGGAGTGAGAAATTGTGTTCAAGGACATTGGGTTTGAGAAGTGTGAAACAGATGCTTGATAATCTTGAAGAAGAGTATCTTGTGTTGCTAGCCGAAACCATTCCATTCTTGGGTGAAATTCTAGAAGACGTTGAGGTATCTGTTAAATCAAGATATCATCAAACAGATGGAAGAGATGAGCGATGAGAGTCTGACGCAACACCTCTGAAACTCTGATTTTACTACAAAACCTTTGATTCCCAATTTTGATTCTCTTTTTGTTTGTGTTGGTAAATAACTAAATATGAAATATAACTTTCTATAATCTTAGGGTTTATGATTTTGAAGAATAGTTTGATCTCTCTTTGTGGTGAGTCGAGAATAGAAAAGTTTTATCTCATTTCCATTTGGGAAGTTAGTAACATGCAAGAAAGTCAATTTCATCTTTTACAATGAAGTGTATTAAATTTGTAGCGTACACATCAAAACGTATAGTATTTGAGCAGAAAAATCGGAGATGAACAAAGAAATCTTCATTGTATGTGAAAATTACAAGCCAATATACAAAACTGCATGTGAAAAAAAAAAATAACTTGCCTTGGTAAACTATATGTAATGATTAATAGCATCACATAAAATTAATAATGGGGTATTAAAACCATATGGTTTCGTTAATCAAACTTCTAATTCTACATCACCATCGTTTACCTCCTCCGTTGTATTCTCTGGTGATGATACAATCCTCTCGAGAATCAGCACTCTAGAGTCGGTA